AGCGCGCTCTTTGTCCCACCTCGGGGGCAAGCCCCGGCATTGGGAGCGGACTATCGGGTGCTCCGGCGGGGATTCCTGATCAAACAGGGGCTATGAGACACGACATTTTGACCATAGATTTCGACTATTTACACCATAAGCTTCAACAAGTTGAGGCAGCGTGGTGACTCCCACGAGATATACAACGAAATTAGATTGGCGGAGAATCTACACCTCTCTCACCATTTCAACATCAGGAGCCGGTGTCAAGACAAAAGTCAAGAAGACCGGGGATGGATATGGCGCGGACGGCTGGCGCGACTAACAGCACGTTTCGCTAGGTAGGCTCCCGACTGGGACCGCCATAAAAGTCACATCAAGAAGGAGCCATTGAGCCTGACTCTCAGCCAACAGACAGCCACTCCACACAACGAGACAACACTTCCAAATACAATAAGCTAAAAGTTCATATAGCAGTTAGTAAAGTATATTTCACTGCGTGCCTTAAGTCCTCAACCACAAAACCCTGTAAACAGCGTTTCCGTAGGAAAACATGCTGGAAGTAGGGATTAATGAGTGGGACTACATAAGCTACCTTTGCCCATGAAATGATTATCCGTATGACAGATGACCTTAGACTAGATTCCAGGCGCATTTATTCCCCCTGTCATTGCCCTAAGGCTAACTCCAAGCATAAACCCACCCCGAAAGCTAACCCTAACCCTCTAGCGTTTCAATCAGGGTAACCTGTACTACGCTGGTAACTAGCCCGTCTCATACCTAATAAACACAGAATCCGCCACTTGTATTCTCACTTTACCCCGAATAAAGGACTGGACAATGAAACAGAGCCGACTGTGATAATTTTCTGGCCAGAGGTATCTTGCTGTTTATAGGGGTTATCGATAAATGTGAGTGTCCTGGGAAAAGGTTGAGGTTCTTCCTGCTGACACAACAGCTGACACCGCCAATTCCTCTTATGAGCAAATTTGAGTCCTTTGGTTGAGAATACGCTCGTTCAACTCCTGTATATTCCTGCACCGTTTTAGACTCTCCCCCCCTTTTACTAAAACTACCAGCTGTCCTCGGAAATCCACTCAAGTACTTTTTGACCACAAGCGAACGTCTTTTCTTCGATCGGCAAAGCCACGATAAGCGAAGCATACCGTTGAGTCTTCCTTATTGGCTTACTTTTTGACCAATCATAATGACGAACAAATGTCCTCACTGACCAATGGCAGTGCAACTATCAAGGCAAAGTCTGCGAGCATAACCACCACACGGTGTGATAAAGGATGGAGAGCAGACTAACAACGTGACATAAGCAGAATTAAGTCTCTATTTTTGATGTAAATAATTGAAGCAGATGAGTGACACCGATTTAACGACAAGACAAAAAAACTGTATCCGTTTTGACAGGTCGCAGCAGCATATTCGCGGGAAATCTGTTTCTCGCTTTATGCCCCCTTCTCCTTCGAATCCCAGTCCTCGTACTCCACAAATGCCGGCTCACATTCCTCGTAAGGTGGCAGATACGGTTCATCGGAGATCAGTTCCGCGTTTGATTCTCCGCTACCGAAAACAAACGCGTCTGGAGAAGGAGAGTCCTGAACTTTCTTTCGTCTCCTTCTACCAACGTGATTCTTGTCCAGCAGGCCGAAGCAAAGGGCCACAAGGACGCCCTGAAAATGAAAATAGCATAAGGAGTTGTAATTATATACTTTACAGGCTTATTAGGCGGCCTCAGGGAAAGTGGCTACAAAGTTGTCTTTAAGTTATCAGGGGAAGTATTGGCTGGCAGTTTCGAAGGTCATACATGAGACGCATGAGTAGGTGTACGGATGGAAATTCGGAAAACATAGCCTTGCCAATAAAGTAGTTAGTAGTTGAATGTAGACCAACGTAACTGATACTCATTGGTGAACGTTCACCGACCGCCAACGGAACTCACTCACTCCCGACCCAAACCGGCAAGACTACGAGCTTGTGGCTCAATGGTTAGAGCGTTAGAATTCTGATCAAAAGGGTCGCGAGTTCGAGCCTCGGATGGTGCACCGCTTGAAGTTGCGTATGACTGGCTAAAAACGGCTAATAAGCCTGACATAGCCATACCTGTCTCCCTCGTCTTTACTGGCAATAATATCTGCCTAAACACGTTATTCTCTAGCTGAAAACCTTATAGTCTTCAGCAATATGAATTGGCATTTGAAGGAATGTCCCAGGGCATAACTTATAAAACCCTGATTTTTTTAAAGACAGAATTCCAAACTTTTTGGCATAATGATCGGTCGCTCAACGTGCCTCATATCCATCCGGCGGTGTACCCTAGGTTTCAAAAAGAAGACTTTGGTCGATGACAGTGAACAAATATATATATATATATATATATATATATACAGTTTTGTGAGTACTTAAAAGGTGATATTGTTGAACTACAGTAGGTGACCTAACTCATGAAATCCAAGGATTTTACAATTCACCCCCTGTTACTCAAACGCAGCCCAAGCTCCAGCCCCCAAAGTCTTACACCAATAGACTAATGGTCGTTCTTCACAATAGGGCATATTGCAATTTATCAAGGCATAGTACGTTATTTATAAATCCCATCTTTTTAGCAAAACTGAAAATTCCGAAAAAGTGAACATCAAGCACACTAGGTAAACATAAGTTTTAAATGTAGAGGAAGTCTGTTCATACAAAAATACCATGCGAATAAAGCAGCACAAGTAGAATAACGTTGAAAAATCATCCTTTCGTACAAGGTTTGGGATACATATGCTTCCATATTACGTACAATGTAATGTTACTGAAGAGATCAAAGTTTGCGTATGTATTCCAACACGGTTTCACGAGAATTGCTAGTTGTTTCTTCCGCTTATACATTGCTTTAGTTGTGTTGGACTAAGAAAACCAGATTTCCACTTTATTACACCGATTTGGAGTTACCTTTTAAAGTCCTGTTCTATCAGTAT